TCGAGCCGGTGTGTTATTTATACAATAATATTATAAACAGATAAAATTTGTAAGTTGTATGTAGGGGTAATTTATGGAACCACTGGTGGGATTTCAAAATTCTTTCACTAATTGATAACTACACTATTCCTGAATGCTATAGGCTATAAAAAATCGCGCTACAAACAAATGGAACCGAGCAGCGAGTAAAGCGCGCGAGAGTAGCTAATGAATGCAATAATACAAATTCACATTGCATTGCTTGCACCGTCCATCATGCATAAGAGTACCAATGGACTTTATCCGAGTATTTTCTGAGATTTTAAAGTTAATACTAAAAATATTTATAGCTGTACTTTTGAAACGAAATAGAGTAAATACATTGTTTTTCTGTAATTTCGGGCTCTAAATACATAAAAGTTAGTATCGATGTTAACAATATCTAATATCGTCATTGACACCTAGGTACGTGTCTACCTAGTCCCTTGAGGACTGAGAGTAACGATATGTAATTACAGCATGTGGTATCAAATACATGAGTGATACATCATTACACAATACAGTTTACGTGGATATATTTATCTATACTTCTATACTAATATTATAAAGAGGTAAAATTTGTAAGTTTGTATGTAGGGGGTGATCTTTGGAACCACTGGTCGGATTCCCAAAATTATTTCACTTATGCTTAGCTACAATGTTTCGGAGTGCTACAGGCTATAAAAAATCACGCTAGAATTAAATGGAGTCGAGCAGCGAGTGAAACCGCGCAGGAGTAGCTAGTTTTATATAATATCATCATAATTATGGCAGAACCATAGTTCGCCACGAATTGATCGGCTCGACTGGTGTAATATCACGGCCTTACAGAAAAACGGCGTTAAACCACGTTTGTTGATTTTAGCCATTATACATATAATTATCTCCGAAGCATTAATCTACAAAAGAATGGCAATGCGTCGTAACTACATTAGTTTTGCGTGTGTCCATGGCCGGCGTCAATTGCTTACAATCTAGTCTGTCTGCTTGTTTGCCGCCCTATCAGCACAGAAGCCAACAATGAACCTTTTTTTAATGTAATAGGTCGACAAACGAACAGACGTATTACTTGATGGTAAGCAATCAGCGCCGCCTATGGATACCCGCAACGGAGGAGTTACGAGTGCGTTGCCGACCTTTTAGGAATTAGGGATTTGGAGATTGAGGAGGGATTGGGGGAGGGGAAGGATTGGGCCACCGGTAACCTCACTCACACGGCGAAACACAACGCTGTGGTTATTTCACGCCGGTTTTATGTGAGGCCGTGGTATTACTCCGGTTGAGCCGACCCATTCGTGCCGAAGCATGGCTCTCCCACACTTAAAATGAACTTACGTATTATAAAGTATCTGTGTATCTGCTTACACCTTTAACAAATACATTGCGCGATTTGTTATGTTAAATTGATGCTCTGATAACGCAAACAAACAAATACAGCTGTCGAGGACAGCTGCCAAGTGTTCAATAAAATCCGAATTCTCGAAACCTCCAAATCCCTAATCCTGAAAAAGGCCGGCAACGCACTCATTACTCTTCCGTCGTTGCGGGTGTCCATGGGCGGCGCTGATTGCTTACCATTTTCATAGACAGAGAGAATAGCAAAAGTCACGAGAAATAATCTGATGAAATTGACTGCACCGTTGGCATGGTGGCTGGGCAACTGGCTGCTGTGCAACGTGTCGATTCCCGCACGGAACAACTCTTTGTGTTATCCACAAATTATTGTTCCGGATCTGGGCGTGATGTGTATGTGAAATTGTATGTTTGTAAACGCACCTACGACACAGAAGAAAATCCTAGTGTGGGGCAGCGTTTTTTTTTAAATAATAATCAGGCTTAATTAATATAACACCAGCTTTTTTGACCGGAGATAGTCATCAAATCAAATCGCATCTATCTCTTTATCGCTCTGGGCTGAGTGAGAGAGAGAGAGAGTGTTAGACTTTTACTAACTAAAAACACCCCGTTCCTTCTCCAGGCCAAAGCCGCGATACCTCATTGCACTAGGCCTGCAACCTTGGCTAAATAGTCAGTATAAAATATCATACCTTCTTATCACTTGATGTAAAGAGTTTCATTATGATTAAGCCTGGAATTGCATCCGGTGTTGGCAAAAGGCTTGCTCATATTACATTTTATAGCTCATATTACATGACAACTGTAGGAGGTCTAGATCTACAGTAAGAACAAGTTAAGGTTCGGCACGAATAGGTCGGCTCGACTGGAGTGATACCGCGGCCTCACAGAAATCCGGCGTGAAACTTCACACACCATTGTCTTTCGCCGTGTGAATCAGGTTACCGTAGGCCTAATTCTTTTCTTCTCGATGTCTCCCCAATCTTAAATCTTCGAAACCCTAATCCCTTGATGGCCGGCAACTCATTCGTTACTCCTTTGGCGTTGCAGATATCCATGGGCAGTGCCGATACCAATCACATAAAAAGTATTTTATGTATATACTACAATAAAGTCTGCATCATTTGACGAGAAAAAAACTAGATACCTCATCCTTCATTTAATAAGAGGCGTGGTATTTAGATTTGAGTCCCTTAACATTCCTTAAAGGATGCCAATTATCCGCTAATGTTGAAAACAAGAAATTTTACAAGCAAGGATGTTTGTTTGTCAGTCCTTCAGTTTTTCTGCGAAGCAGTGATTCTCGCAAAGGAGGCGGAGCGCGTGAGGGAACTATCCTCCTCGCGCCCCAGCCGCCGCAGTAGGCGACATTCCGGGCGTCGGGGATCGAGAGACGATCTCCGGCCACCGTACGCGCGGGTCTGCGGACGGCGAGTAAGGGTAGCTCGCCGCCCGACCAGAACCAGACTCGAGGGTACGGCGCGTAGAGTTCCGCGCGCGCCTCAAAGAGCCAATGGACCACCACAGACGGGGCCCGCCTATTAGGGCTGATGTTTAGCCGGGGTTGCGGGTAAAGCGCAATGATTCACCGCGGCCTCGGCCCAGAGCAGGAGAAGGAATGGGTGGGTTTTAGTCAGTAAGAGTCTGACACTCTCTCTCACCTAACCCTGGGCGAGAAAAGTCATTTAATGATTTAAAAAAAGTATGTATGTGTATGTATATGTTCGTTACCCTATTACACAATATCTACTGACTCGACCTGAATGAAACTTCACACAAAATTAGATCATTTACTAATATTATAAATGCGAAAGTTACCATGTTTCGATGTTTGCTACCCAATCTCGCCAAAACGGCTGGATGGATCTGGCTGAAATTTGGCACAGGCATAGGATACACTCTGGAATAGGACATAGGCTACTATTTATCAACATACTACGCAGGCGAAGCCATGGGCGGAAGCTAGTAAAAATATATAAGCTAGCATTCGTTTTTAAACCGTAAAGTCTATAACTTCAATTCTTTTCGTTCATCCCACATGATGTTAATTAATTGGCTATTTTATAGCCTTACATTTTACAAGTGTTCGGATGTCAGATAAGGCCTAAATCGATAGCCAAGTCGTTACAGGTAAACATTGAGTTAGTAAATATTATAGCCGTTTGACTAGTAGATTTATATACAGAAAGGAAAAACAGAAAATTGAGAGAGATATTTTTTATTATTTATTCTTTTATTATTATTCTGTTTCTTTCATTTTCATGGCTCGGCATCAAGGCCGGATTTGAGGGTTCACCTGAATCTCTCAAGTTGAGGTGTACGGAATCATGTCTGTTTCATTTAAAAAAGTTCTTACAATATGACAGGTATTTAAATAGGCAGCTTTCTGAAGATTTTGGTAAATGTAAAATGGTAGTTGGAGTGTTTTTATAGAGTGATGGAGTTGTTTGGGGATTACACCTATTGTTGACAGGACTATAGGGACTATAGTGACGTTTTTAAGTCGCCACATTCTGGTTATTTCGTTTTTGAGGTCTGTGTATTTAGAGAGCTTATCTACTATTGTGTTTTGGAGGTTGTGTGTGTTCGGTATGGCTATGTCTATGATTTTTGCAGTTTTATTTATCTTATCAATGAGAGTGATATCTGGTCTATTGTAATGAGTAGTTTTGTCAGTAAGAATGGCTCGGTCAAAGTATAATTTGAGCGATAAGTTTTCAAGTACAATTTCGAGTTGGTATTTGTAGTATGATCCTACAGACTGTCGGGGTGGAAATTAGGTTGTATTTTAATGCTAATTTTTGGTGAATAATATTTGCAATTTGGACGTGTCTGTGTTTATAGTCGGTTTGTACTATTGATTTGCAGGCCCCTGTGATATGCTGAATAGTTTCTGATGCACTATTGCATCGTCTGCAGATATTGGCAGGTATTGGGATATGCATTATGTGTTTCCGGTAATTACGGGTTTCTATTATTATTTGTAAACAGACAGTTGAAACAACTGATAATGCCCGCATCCTGTTAATTTCCATTTAGAGTCTTAAATGCAAACTAATATAATAAATGCAAAAGTAACTCTGTCTTGCTTTTCTTCACGCCTAAACTATTGAACTACTTGTGTGAATCAATTAAAGAAACTTTTTATCGAACTTATAGGCACATTCTAATTTTATTTTGACACCACTGACCCGCAGTGTAACTAATAGAGGATATTTCATAGACTATTTTATACATATAAGAAGCTATGTCATAATTGTATGTAGATTAACTGAATGTTTAAATAAGCAACCTTTTGTGTAGAAAGATTTCAGTACACATTTTAGTTGTTTCGGTGTATAATCGCCACAACAAATCGCATACCTCTTTTGGCACTTTAATACAGAGAATTATCCGGATTTTAATAATTTTAACTAAATAAATGTCGATGTAGATTTTAAAATATCGTATCGTATATATACCTAATAATATTTTTTCTTTTAATTTTAATTACAAACCAGAATTTTAAAATATCCGAAAATACACACGTAAGTTTAAAACACAAGTAAACAACGATAACAATAAAACAAAACAATTTCGTTCACTTGACAACTAAAACAAAACTTTCACTTTTAAATATAACGTACGTGAAATCAAAGATGGCGGACGGTGACCGCGCACGCGTGCTATCGCGCGGACAACGCGAAATGTACTGACTTGAGAGAGTACTCAGACAACCTATCGCAGTTTTGTTTTTGTAAACATGAAGGATGTTCATAAAAACGTTGTTTACTAATATCTAGACTGGCTGGCGGATTGACCATTCAATTAAGTACAGATTGAAATTTAATATCAAAGATTACAGGCGTATTGAATGAGATTTATCTGTTGTGATGTCGAAGAACAATAGAATATATTATTTTGTAGCCAAATATCACGTGCAATAGCAGCAAGAGCAGAAGGAACGTGGTGGGTTTTAGTCAGTAAGAGTCGGACACCCCTTCTCACACAACCCAGGGCGAAAAACACTTATATATCTTCAATAGGTCGGTCGTAAGATCAGACTATGGGACTGCAGATTTTAGAGACAGGGCATCAAGGCTCTCTGATAAAACCTAAAACCTTTTAATTAGTAATCTGCTACCCACGTATTAAGCAGGCATTTGTCAACTAATCAAATTCATTTTCATTCTTTTATCGGAGTGCTAAAAGCGAAACTATTCTCTAGAATTTCGTGTGGAATACTGACTGGTGACGTCATCATAATTATGTTTTCGTCAAATATGATACCTATTATTTTATATTATTACTTTTTGAATATTATTTTATAATAATTTTGTAAAAAAATATAGTTGAATACGAATGCACTTAGATTTAAATTAAGATTTTTATGTTCTTGTATTGCAAAGTTGAAATATTTTTATTCTTGACTTAGAAAAGTAAAAAAACGGTAAAATACCTTTTTTTGCATTGGACCACTTTAGTATAGCCGTTGACTAAAAAAAGTCAAAGAAAGTCAAATAGCTATAATACAAAAAAATGCGCTAAGGGTTCCGTACTAAAATGAAGTTTGTTATTCTCCTAGAGCTATATTTATTTAATTATCATTTTAGTATTGATTGTTATTTAAAGGATTGGGCGTCCGGTAACTTCACTCACAACGCTGTGGTTGTGCACGCTGGTTTTTATGAGGGCGTTGTCGTGGCCGTGGCCGTGTTACCACTCCTTTCGAGCCGTTCCATTCCCGCCAAAGTATGGCTTTCACACATTTTTCAAACATATTATGAGCAAATGTTTTTTTTTACATTTTAACAGACAGCAATGTCTTATTCAGATTCAGTCTAGTTCAAAGGTTTCGTTCTCACACACTGGTATGGATGGAACCCTAAAAATAAGGAAAAATACTTAATGACTCAACGTGACTTATTTTCATGATCCCATCTTTTGTTTCGAACAAGGAAAAATACGATTGTTATTATTCATTGATCAACCTTGAAAATAATACTTAGTACGAAAATAGGTATTTCTTAGATAAATTACAACTATTTTACGCTCGAATTGACTGGCCTGACTCTATGGTTCAGTTGCTATAAACTAAGTTTTTTTTTGTTTTTTTTTTCATGTGATTGATAGGACGACAAACGAGCAGACGTATTACCTGATGGTAAGCAAACAGCGCCGCCCATGACCACATTGAAAGAGTTACAAGTACGTTGTCGATCTTTTGGAGATTAGGGTTTTGGGATTTAGAGATTGAGGGAAGGGAAGGATTGCCCACTCACACGGCGAAACTCAACGCTGAGATTCTTTCACGCCAGTTTTTTGAGGCCGTGCTATCACTCTGGTCGAGCTGGCCCATTCGTGCCTAAACATGGCTCTTCCACACTTAATTGTAAGGGAGGAAATCATCAATCAAATGGCTTCTCTCTCGTCCATGGTGAGGCGAGAGGCAGTGTCAGACTCTTACTGGTTAAAAACCACCTGTTCCTTGTCCTGCTCCGGGCGAGGCCACGGTACATTATTCGACTCGCACCCCTTACCCCAGGTTTACGTGTCATCATCTTACGTGTCATCATCATCATCATCATCATCATCAGCCTATAAGTGCCCACTGCTGAGCAAAGGCCTCTTTTCATACGAAGAAGGTTAGAGCATTAATCACCACGCTTGCTCAATGCGGGTTGGCGATTTCAAACTTATAATAAAAAATAAGTCCAGGTTTTCTCACGATATTTACCTTCACGGCATGTCAGTAGTGTTTAAATAATCATCGAAAGTACATATAACTCGGAAAGTCATATTAGTACTTGCCAGGTTTCGAACCCACACCCTCATGCATGAGGAGCGGCCTCCCTTACCTCTGGGCCACCACCACACACCATAACGTGTCAGCTAATACCATAATTATGTTACAAAAGTAAGTACTATTACGAAACGTAACAATAACAAAGTAATGATAGAAATCATCATTGCTATGATTACAAAATACACATCATTATACCATCAATCTCGTAGTAAATAGAACTTTTTTGTGGACATAAGCAATTATTATAAAAAAACCGGTTTCATGATTGTGTAGTTATAATGATAATAGAAAACTGGATCAACATAAGCGGTAGTGTTTTGTGGCACGACACGAAATTGGACTGGTTTGGTGAACGCAAAGTTTAATACATTTATTTGTAACCAGTCTTTACATTTCTCGACGTTGGTTGTTATAGGAATAATTATAAAAAGGCAACGAAAGCCACACAAAACACCCATACTAGTCACGTAATCTTTTCGCTGTCGATCCACGCAAAAACGTTTTCATCCCCGTCATACACCTACAATACCTACATGGTTGGCAGTCAACAACTGTGCGATTTTCGCGAAATAACAAAACTTTGGAATGACAATTCCGAACCGATGCGACCTTGAAACATTCAAGAAACGAGCGTTCTCTTTCTTAAAAGTCAGGCGTCGCTCCTGTGACTCCTCTGGTGTTGCAGATGTCCATGGACGGCGCTTATCACTTACCAATAGGTGATAAGTCTGTTTGTTTGCCTCCTATTCCATAAAATTAAACTTAACGGCAGGCTTGTTTTACTTAGACAATAGACCATCACACACGAGGCCCTATAGGACTAATGTTCAACCGGGGTTATGGGGCAAGCACAATAAGACACCGCGGCCTCGGCCTAGATCAGGAGAAGGGAAGTGTGTTTTTAGTCAGTAAGAGTCTGACACTCCTCTCGCTCCACCCTTTTTTTGTGAGGGGAGAACTATCAAATGACTTCTCCCACCCAGAGCCGGCGGGAGGGAGTGTCAAACTCTTACTAACCGAAAACCCTTCTCCTGCTCTGGGCCGAGGTCGCAGTGCCTCATTGCGCTTACCCCGCACCCGCAACCCCTCGCTCCACCCTGGGCGTGAGAAGTCAACTCATGGTTTTCCCTCACAAAAAAGGCTTGTTTCACGCCGGTTTTCTCTAAAGGCCATGGATCACTCCGGTTGACTTATTCGTGCCGAATCATAAGTCTATTAAACATTCACATCATGGTGATGGTGTTTGCTTGTCGCCTTTTGCCATAATACATGTTCAGAATACCAATTATAATGGCTATTGTTTTAATGCCTATTATGAAATGCTAGTGTGGATTGTAGCCACAATATTGACTAGCTATTGAAGTCGGGTGAATTGTTATGACTGTGGAAAAGTAAGTTGTATACATTACCTACATACATTAACATACAAACGTTAACTCATAGCTTCGTCTCAGCTGGATGACCAAATAATGTACTGCAGCCCCGAGCAGGAGAAGGAACGGGGGGAATGGTCGGTCAGTAAGAATCTGAGAACCCGTCGGCTCTTCCAGGGCGAGAGAAAAAAGTTTGACGATTAATTGTGGGAGAGCCATGCTTCGGCGGGAATGGGCCGGAGTAATACCACGTCCTAACAAAAATCCGGGGTGAAGTAACACCTAAGCTGTGTTACACCGTGTGAGTGAGGCTACCGGAGGTCCAATACTCTTCCCCGTCCACCCACAATCCTCAAATCTCCTATCCTTTAATCCCTAATAACCCATAAGAAGTTGGCAACGAACTTGTAGTAAGTCCTTTGGTATTACGAGTATCCATGGGCGGCTCTGATTACTTATCATCGGGTAATCCCGTCTGTTCGTTAGCCGACCTATGCTATAAAGAAAGAGATACATGTATAATAATATTAGTCAGTAAGATTCTGACACTCCCTCTAGCCTCACCCTGGGCAGGAGAAGTCATTTGATGATTTTCCTCTGACAAAATTAAGGTACTTACATTAGAGACGGCTGCAGTCTGCTTGCATTTATATTCTCGAACTAGCGCCCCACCCCGGCTTCACTGAAGTGCAACGCTAATACTAAATTACTCATCTAATTTTATGGGCTGTTATTATACACATGAATGTCCCTGTTCAATTACTCTATTTATTAAAATAAAAAAACGCATCAAAATCCGTTGCGCAGTTTTAAAGATTACTTATATTAAACATACATAGGGATATACTCATAGGGACAGATAAAACGGCATTGTTTAATACAATGTAGTGATATTAAGTAGGACTTTGTATTGGGTATCATACACCCGCGAGAAGAGAGGAGTTGGTCACTAATGTATTCAATGCCGCCATCACACGACTTCGAAAATGAGATAATTTCCGTAGCTTATGTCATTTATTTGTTTTTAATATTCAAACAAAACTGTTGTCACCCTTTTTTGTTTTGATTTATCTAATAATGGAACTGGACTGGACAAATATACCTACCTAGTTCATTCATAATTATATTAAACAATCAAACAATTCAAGTTTATTTTTTATGAGATAGGTCGCAAACGAGCAGACGTATTACCTGATGGTAAGCAATCAGCGTCGCCCATGGACACCCGCAACGACGGAGGAGTTACGACATTTTTTGTGAGGGGATAATCATCAAATGACTTCTCCCGCCCAGGGCCGGGCAGGAGGGAGCGTCAGACTCTTACTGACTAAAAACCCCCCTGTTGCTTCTCCTGCTCTGTGCCGAGGTCGCGGTGCCTCATTGCGCTTACCCCGCAACCCCAGCTGAACATCAGCCCTTTAGGGCCCCGTCTGTGGTGGTCTAATGGCTCTTTGAGGCGCACGCGGAACGCTACGCGCCGTACGCTCGGGCCTGGTTCTGGTTGGGCGGCGAGCTCCCTTACTCGCCGACCGCAGGCCCGTACTTAAGGTGGCCGGAGATCGTCCCTTGATCACCTTTTGGGGATTAGGTACTCAATCTGCGAAACACAACGCTGTGGTTGTTTCACACCGGTTTTCTGTGAGGCCGTGGTATCACTCCGGTCGAGCCGAACCATTCGTGCCGAAGCATGGCTCTCCCACACTATTAGAACTAAACGCTTTCGTTACCGGTGGCTTTCTTTTTGTAAAAGGAATATTAACAAACGACTTCTTTCGCTTAGGGCTAGAGAGGGAGTGTCAGACTCATGCTGACTAAAAACTCTTTCTCCTGCCATACCACGATGTCAATTTGACCTTGCTTCATCCTTGCTGCCCGGACATCTCTACACTACATGAGCTGCTGTTCACATGTGAACATTAGCTCATGACGATACCTAAGTACGTGTGTATGTCGCCTGGACAGTGAACCTCGCTACATCCTTGTTGACTGGACATCTACACTACATGAGCTGTTGTTTACATGTGAACATTAGCTCATGACGATACCTAAGTACGTGTGTCGCCTGGACAGTCAACCTCGCTACATCCTTGTTGACTGGACATCTACACTACATGAGCTGCTGTTTACATGTGAACATTAGCTCATGACGATACCTAAGTACGTGTGTCGCCTGGACAGTCAACCTCGCTACATCCTTGTTGACTGGACATCTACACTACATGAGCTGTTGTTTACATGTGAACATTCGCTCATGACGATACCTTAGTACGCGTGTCGCCTGGACAGTCAACCTCGCTACATAATTGTTGACTGGAAAGAATCAGACATACAAAAAGAAATCTTATTAAGAGAAACTTACCGTTCATATTCAATCGCTGATATGTCTGCATCACTAGAACTGTGATTCACCTTCAGAAGACCGTTTCTTCTGAAGAAGGATTTTCTTCTAGTTCTTCCTCCCTTCTCTTCTGTGCTAGATTCGACGAATGATATGGTAGAAGAAGACGTGAATTCCTTATGGCTATCTTGATGCTCCATTATTCTAAAGAAGAAAAGATAATATGCTTTCCTTTAATTTCTCTTACAGAAAACCAGAGCTGATACCACGGCTTAACAGAAAACCGACGTGAAACAACACATGCATTGCACTCCACTACCATGACTGCCTTCTTCAAATCCTCTAACCCTCAAAGTCCATTTACCCACTTGTAACTACTCTGGTGTTCCGGTTGTCCATGAACGGCGTCGATGGCTTACCATCAAGTTATCCGTCAGCTTGTTTCGTCGATCCATGGCATCAAATAGTCGGATTTCTAGATGCCAAAACCACTATTTGATTGTGCCATTGTCATCATTGGAAAATTGTTTTAAAATTAAAACATACGTTCGCGCTTTATAAATACTATCAGTAAAGTAGGTTGAGCTTTTCGACTGGTTGGTTTGTAATAGTTTCATTGAAATATGCGGTAAAAGAATAGGTACCAAAATCTGTGCATTTGTGTGATAAAAAAAAACAAAATATTAAACTAAATACCTATACTTAAGTACCTACTTACTTTTAACAGAATTCCCAATTAGGTATTTTCTATAATACGAGCGAAAAACAAATTACTCTTTTTAAAAAAAATATAATACAGTTTTGTTGGACATTTTATACTTTTTATAATGTAAAATGTACCTTTTAAGCCATAATAAATAAATAAATAAATAAATAAATAAATAAATAAATAAATAATACATTTTATTTGTCACGCGGAAACGTTTCGTTTTAAAAGTCTGAACGAAATTACCCCAATACCTACCTAATATCATCTAGGTATTAAAAACCTGTGGTACCTATACTAAATATATAAAAGGGTCCATACAATTATTGATCAAAACGGTTTAGGTTGTCACCTTGACCCATAAGAAGGTTTTTGGGGACAAAATATATCTATCTTTAGGTACGCGTCTAACATCTGGAGTGTAGGTATAATTCTATTAAAATCAATTTAATCTCATTTCTGACTGATTTCTTGTTCAAATTTGATTTTGAAGCTCAGAGTTTTTAGTAAAATATCGAAATTATCTATTATTGTGAGAGATTTGCGATAAAAAATGAGAAAAACTCATCCTTTTGTCTTAAATATGGAAAGAATAATAATACTTACCCAGTTTACACCTTTTCCGTACAATTTTATCACTAAAAATCTGTATTTTTCAATAAATAATACACAAAAATATGTTTTTAAACTTCATTTTGTTAATATAACACGTTTAAACTTCTTAACTTTTATAAATACCCACATCTTTTAACCAAAATATTGTCTAAGCTCAGGTCTGACGTTTTTTAATCTGTAGCGCTAGTGTCGCGCGGGTGAATTCGGAATCAATTGATTGATTATTTTGTTGTTGAGAACATTTTTATGTTGTTTTTTCAAAAGAAATGTTGGTATATTGTTTGATTTAATTAGAACTATTTAAGGTTGTCCTAATTTGGCTAGTTTATGTCAGGATTTCACTAAAAGACAGTTTGGTAGGTAAATCATGTAAAGTGGAGACTGACGGACTGATACATTCATTACTTATGAATCAATACTGATGACGTTATAAATACAGATTGAAGACTTACAAAAGCCAGACAACAGTAATTGTTGTATTAGCGTTGTATTTAATTACAAAATTGCTTATTTTAAGCGACAAAAGCCAATTACGTCTCAGATTATCTAGTTTATTTGCTAATTCGTTTTTAATTTCCTGGAATTTGAAGGCAATATAAATATCTAGCAAGTATTTCTATATTCTAATTTTAGTTGTTAACTCAATTGCACCGAAAGCAATCATTATTGTAGTAATTTTATGATAATTTGTTGCATTGAAAGTGTAATATTATTTACCGCCATCTGTTATCAAGAACTTGAAACACTCCAACTGTTAAGTTCTTTGATAGTTTTCTGACTTATCAGCAGATGTCACTAGCGCTGTTATTTCGGTATAAAATTGACAAAGAGCTAAAAATAGTATTCCCTAAGGAAATACAAAGTAAATAACGGACTAACCATTAAATAATTATTTATTTTAAGCACGGGTTTTCTCACGAGACAGTATAAATGTCAGATTTTTCCGTATTTCTGTAATGCGTGCTATCTCATGATTTTACGTGAGAAAGAAAGAGAAAAAGGAATTATAGGATTTCTGTTCTAAGCAAAAGTGTTCGTTCTTCATAATAATATTTGTTTCCGCCTAGCCGTGCCTTCGGAATATTGTTTTATGCGAAATATTAAAGCAAAAATGTGTTTTTCTAACTTTCAAGACTTATTTTGCCTTTAAATCAGTGTTTTTGTGTTATAATACTATTTTGTGTTAGACTGTGTGTTGTAACAGGCTGAATCAGTGTTTGTTTGTGCCTTTTATTGATTTTTTTTGAACAAGTGTTCTTTGTGATTCGTTTAAAACAAAATTGTGTTTTTCAAACTTTTAAACTCAAATTAATGTTTTAATAGTGAAGTAAGTAAGTATTACATTTTTAGTATTTTGTTTGTTTGTATAAGTTTTAGTTAGGTATTTAATATTTTTACCTATTTCCTTCTTCCTTTACTTAAAAGTTAATGCATATTAAAAACAAATGTTAAAATTTTTAAAAAACAAATGTATTGACAATTGTTTCGGCGGGATTCTAGATTTTATTGACATTTACTTAGGTACCTACATCTTTTTTAATTTTTTTTTAAGGTTTCATCTTATTGGTTATAAATGTTATTAGAATTTTTAATGATTTTTTTTTAAATAGTATTATTTATTTTTCAGTAGGTTAATATTTTCAATTAGTTTTTTTGTCTATTAGTTATAAGTAAATAGGTATTATTAACAAAAAAACATTACAAGTACGAAGTACCTAAACTATAATACAAATACATTTTTTTAATTAGTTCTTGTAGGTAGCAATATAGAAAATGACTTTAACTAGCTTTGAAACAGAAATCTAGGTCATTGCAATACATACTACGACCTAAATAATGTAGTATACCTTTCTACATAACTAACTAATTACCATGGCTTCACCTACGTTATCCAAGGGGCAAAGTAGCATTATACTATAGGTGTAGGTACCTATCTCCCTTCGTCAGCCTCCTAACTATTTTTGGATACAAAAATCATACCTGCTGTTCATTCATCAAACCTCGTCAGACAGAACGCCGGCGTTCGCGCATCCATTGAACTTCTAGGTCTGTCTCGAATTAAGTACTTACCACGATTCACAGGTTACTAATACCTAAATAAGTAATTAATCACTCCGTTTTTTTGGCGTAAAAGACAAACATACATGTACTTTCGCGTGTAATGTCATTACTTTCTAACGAATCACCTGATAGTAAGCAATCAGCGCCACCCATGGACACATCAAGGTTTCAAGATTTAGAGGTTTTTGGGGATTGAGGTTGGGGGAAACATGATGGTTCTCAAGGTCAAGGAACTGCACTCACACCGCACACGACGACAAAGGTTGTTTTACGCCCATTTTCTGCGAGACCATGGTATCACTGCGGTTGCTGCGCCGACCCATTCGTGCCGAAGCACAGCTCTTCCACACTTCATCACAGCAAAAAAATATTTATTTTGTTGCTATTTATAAATTGATTATTTAAATAATTTCTTAGTAGGTACTTCAACAGTTTGACCTTGTTTTGTTCTCGATGCTTAGGTAGGTATATAAATAAATAGGTACTAGCGACCCGCCCCGGCTGCGCGCGGATGCAATGTTGATACCTAAAAAATTCTCCACAAATTAATGGATGTTTTTATACATATAAAACTTCCTTTTCAATCACTCTATCTGTTAGAAAAACCGCATCAAAATCCGTTACGTAGTTTTAAAGATGTAAGCGTACATAGGGATAATCATGTTTTATCGCGAAAGGAGTAGTTAGGTACTACTACTAACTTCCCATGCATATTCTTTACTATTGACAATATCAAAATATCAATTTGGTATTCAATTGCCGGTGATCAGGTGATCAGTGATTGATTAGGACAATCCCCACGTTTGGCAAACGGTGTGGGGATAGCAGTTAGGTCATAGCTGGTAGGCTGATAGTTTACACATAATGTTATGGAACATCTTCACTTATTCCGCTATAAGAAGACGTTCTTTTTTTGAAGGGTTAAAATCTGTGAATTACTTCTCCAGTTTTACATTGAGAGCGAGAGAGAGTGTCACCCGGTTTTCGAAAGGCCGATCAATATTAAAATTAATTTAATCTCTTGTCAAGTCATCTCATTGGTTGACTGAATTATCAACAACCAATCAGATGACTTGGCAAGAGATTTGACAACTAGTTAGTTGATTTTAACATTGATCTGGCTTTCGGAAACAGGGCATGAGTCAGTAACACCCGGTTTCCAAAAGGCCGATCAATGTTAAAATCAATTTAATCTCTTGTCAAGTCATCTGATTGGTTGACTGGATTAACAACAATCAATCAGATGACTTGACAAGAGATTTAACAGGAGATTAGTTAATTTTACCGTTGACAAGCCTTTCAGAAACCGGATGTAAGAGTCTAAAATTCCCTTTCGACACATGCAGGATAGACAGTCGTACAGATACACAAACATTATCAGATAAATAATAATATGTGCAATCGTGATCATGCGACATTGAAAACTAGTTGCCTGCTGACAAACAAGTCTTTGTAATTGAATTGTTTGTTTGTTTATACACGACCGGAGTGATACCACGGTCTCATTTCTTAAGGAAGAGTAAAAAGTGAGTGATACGTACGTGCGTAATATACGAACGTTATCATAGAAATACGGCGTGAAACAACGTTTCGTAGTATAAGTGAGGTTACCGGCCGCTAAATTTTTTTAAAGAGGCGATATTTGGTGATTTTTCCCCTCAAAGAAGGTTTCCTTACAATGTTTTCCTTCATCGTTTGTCAATGATGTCTAAATAAACTTAGAGAGTACATGTAACTTGGAAAAAGTCACATTTGTTCTTGCCAGGTTATGGACTCCCATTCTCATGCATGAGAAGCGGGTATCTGAACCTTCGGCATTCTCCTCCACGATACCTTAGGGTAAACATTGCTAAACCTTTAATAAACGTTGTTTTGTCTTTTACAGATCAACAAAAACAAAGATGAAGACGAAACTGACTTCCGTTACGTATCTTGGCTTCACTGCCATGGATCGACGGTTCTCTAACGCTATGCTGCCCTGGTTACTCCGGGAGATCAGAGCTACGGGGGTTAGAGACAAGGTGGGTAACTGGATCAGTTCTGGACTTTAAGCCTCTTTTATACATCATCATCAGCTTGTAAGTGCCTACTATTGGGCAAAGGCTTTATCACACGAAGAAGGAATGACCATTAATCCTCACGCTTGTTCAAGACGGATTAGCGATTTCAAACTTATGATTATCCATACTACTTGTAAGTTTGTATGTAGGGGGTAATCTTTGGAACCGCTGGTCTGATTGCCAAATTCTTTTAATTGTAGATTGCTAAAATGTTGTTGAGTGCTATTAAACATAGGCTATAAAACATCACGCTACGATCAAATGGAGCTGAGTGAGCAGCGAGTGAAACCGCGCGAGAGTAGCTAGGGAATCATAAGTCTAGGTTTTCTCACGATCTGAACGCCGGGCACGCTGTGATAGCATTTTTGAGGTGGCTAGAGATGGTATGGCGTCCTCACCTACCACCTGACGTTGGTGTTTACTGGACCTGGTTCTGTTCCGGCGGAAGGAAACGAAAGGTGTTGTCATTATGAGCACCGTCCGGAGGACACGGTGGAGCATTTGGTATGCCCTTATACCGCCCAGCCTGGGCAAAGCACCAAAAACAAAAAATAAAAAAAGCTTTCCTCCTCTTCATATGCCTTCTCCGCATATCAATGGAGTATAATAAACTTGGAAAGAACGTATTATAACTTGGCAAATATAACATTGATACTTTCCTTCCTCATGATCCAGGGTACAAATATATAGGTACTAGCTTTTGCCTGCGACTCCGTTCGCGTGGAATAGTGTCTTCCTGCAGATTTTTGGTATAAAAACTATCGTATGTCCTTTCTCGAGTTCCAAACTATGTCTGTGCCAAATTTCACAGGAAACGGTTCAGTAGTTTAGGTGTGAAAGAAAGACAGACAGACAGTTGCTTTCGCATTTATATCTAATATTAGTTTGGATTAAATTTTTTATTCTATGCCCTTCATTTCTTTTTCAGCTCAGCATAGCAGTGGAAGAAGGCTGTTTGAAGGCCTACAATGGCAATTTTGAACCTGTTATAGTACACAGACTTGTCGATATCGTTCGGTAAGTAAAATAGTTAATAATATTATGTATGTATTACGAAACGACATGAAATGAGCAGATGGATTACCTGATGGTAAGCAATCGGTACCGTCCATGGACATCTGCAACACCAGAAGAGTGATGAGTATGTTACCTTTCTTTACGAAATAAGGGGTTTTAGGAGTATTAAGGAAGGATGGGGAGGTGCAAGACCTTGGGAATCCTGCCATCTAGCCAAGTTCGGTATCGATAATCGTTATTCGTTATAACTTTAGAAATGAAACTAATGCATAATATATGTAAAGCGTTAGTATGCATTTCTTGTGGATCACTTTGACACGAATGGGCCATCTCGCCCGGAGCGATCCCACGGCCTCATAGACTGGCGTGAAACAACGCTTTGCGTGTACATTTCGTCAGGTGAATTAACTAGGTTACCATTCTTAAACCTCCGGATCCTCAAACCCCAGCCCTCGAAAGGGGTAATGCAGTCGTAACTACTCTATTACGAGTGTCCATGGACGGCGCCGATTGCTTACCATCAGGTAATCCGCCTGTTCTTTTGCCTTACTATTCCATAAAAATAATACCAAGATTTGATTAATAACAACTCGGACTGAAAATCAAACAAAGTGTAGGAAAGCCATGCTTCGGCACGAATGGGTCGGCTCGAGTGGATTGATACCACGGCCTCACAGAAAACCGGCGTGAAACAACCACGGCATTGTGTTTCACCGTATGAGTGAGATTACTGGAGGCCCAATCCTTCCCCTCCCCCAATCCCTAAATCTCCAAATCCCTAATCCGCATAAGCTCGGCAACTCAATCGTAACTCCTCTGTTGCGGGTGTCTAATCCGTCTGCTCGATTGATTACATAAAACAGCCATTATTTTTGAGATAAGTTTACATTGTAAGAAACATTGTTTAGGTAGATAAAGCCACAAGATGGAATGAATACTACCTACTTGTAAATGCGACTTATTTACCAGTTTTTTTTTCTCAGAAACATGATTTAAAAACTCGTTTATTAATTCACATTCCGAAGTCAATGTTATCATCGACTTTTTTTTGTAAGTTGGTAAACGAACAGACGGATTACCTGATGGTAAGCAATCACAAAAAGACAACAGTAAAGTGATGAATGCGTCGCCGGCCCTTTGGGGATTAGGGTTGGATACATAAGGGATTCGGGAGGAAACTATGAATTTTGTTAATTTTTCTTGATTTTTGTTTTTAATATAATTCTATCAAATCCGTATTAACACAAATAACTAAATGGCTATGACTTAAACAAAAGTCCGTTACTCGGGTTTGTGATACCCACGACAAGAGTGATGTAAGTGAGAAAAAAATAGTATTATACTCGGTAGACTTTATACTTTGGTATTGTTTCAGGGCCAGTCAGGTGCCAGGTAGACCGGAGGAGCTGTTTTACATACTCCTCAATGAGAAGGAGGGACTCCTCAATTGCTTCCTCTTCAAAGCCGCTACGGTTAAGGAGGTAAGTAGAATAATAGGTAGGAGACAGAATGACCTAGGACGGCGAGCTACATATGTTTGCTGTACCCTAGTTTCTCATGACGCACCATGGCCTTGACTGGGGCTGGACGCGAGAGGTCGCCACCGCCTATCACTTCTCTGAAGACATAGCGGTGTTCAGCCCAAGTCAGGGCACACACACCTTACAATATTATCATCAAATGACTTGTATCCCCCTACCAGGGAAGGGATAGTCATTTGCTTTTTGAGTATCTATATTTAACTAGCTCCTCTCGCGCGGTTTCACCCGCTGCTCGGCTACATTTGATGGTAGCGTGATGTTTTATAGCCTATATCTCTCAGGAACCTTGTAGCCATCTATCAGTGAAAGAATTTTGGCAATCCGACCAGCAGTTCCAAAGATTACCCCCTACATACAAACTTACAAATTTTACCTCTTTATAATATTAGTATAGATGACTTCTCTCCCCCTACCCAGGGAAGAGATAGTCATTTGTTTCTTGAGTATCAGATTCTTATTGACTTATTGTCACCCTGTTCCTGCAACCTGCAACACCGGCAGAAGGAAATCCAAGAATGGCGTAACCTTTATATTATTAAAAAAAAACTAAATTTTTCACTATAAGAATCAAAGTCAACACTTACTGCCGTAGGTCCCACGGTGTGTGATTAATGTTATCTTGACATTAACTAATTACCAAGCTAAGTAAACAATACTGCACAAAAATAAACAGTTTAGCATTCCTTCAAAATAACAGTTGATTGAAGGTTTTGAAACATTTTCTTTTGGGAGTGCTGTATTTGTTTGTATGTATGTATGTATGTATGTATGTATGTATGTATGTATGTATGTATGTATGTACGTTATCAAAGTGCAGGTATGGTAAGTAAATGTAACGTGTGGTTACGTCTGTCAGTATTCTGAAAATCTTGTTTTATACTCTTTCAGCGCCGGTTTTTGTCGTAGTTGGGTTTTAGTTTTTATACTTTTTATTGCATCATGAGTAAGGCTACCGAAAGCTTCTCATAACCCCAAGGTTCCAAATACTAAGACCCTTCTTTTTAGGGGGAAATTCAACAGATGATTTCTCCCGTCCTGGGTGGCGCACGAAGAAGTCTCTGACTTTTACCAACTAAAAACCATTCCGATTTTGTCTCTCGTTCTCTGAGCCGGGTCACAGTACATAATTGCGCTTATTCACAATGTCGACTGGACATCATCCCTATTAGGCCCCGTCTGTAGTGTTCTAATTATTCTTTGAAAAGTGTTACGAGACGTGCTGTTCATTCGAGTCTAGTTCTAGTCAGGCAGCGAGGACCCGTAAGCACACAGGACTAGTTATCTTTACTAATATTATAAAGAGGTAAAAGTAAGTTTGTAGGTTTGTAAGTTTGTATGTAGGGGGTAACCTTTGGAACTGCTGGTCGGATTGCCAAAATTCTTTCACTGATAGATAGCTACAATGTTCCTGAGTGCTATAGGCTATAAAACATCACGCTACGATCAAATGGAGCTGAGTGAACAGCGGGTGAAACCGCGCGAGAGTAGATAGTAGTAGTATAACTTAACTCGCCATCCGCTAAACAGTGCTTACGGTAGTCTGTGATCGAAACGCGTTCCCCGATGCTCAGGGTGTGTCCTGGAGCGGCTGGGGCTTGAGGAAATGGTTCCCGTGCTCCGCCAACTTCCTTGAGAGCATGACGGCTTCTCAGAATCTCAGAAGGAGACGGATTCCCAGTTCATCTCGCTCCGTACCTCGTCGCGGCCTTCGATGACTTTCCTTAAGACACGGCGGTGCGGCGCCTATGTTATCCAACGTCTTTTATCGCGTTCACTTGTATCTGCCTACCCTATTAGACAGGCGAGACGATTTTTTTTTTTTTTTTTTTTTATGTAATAGGTCGGCAAACGAGCAGACGGATTACCTGATGGTAAGCAATCAGCGCCGCCCATGGACACTCGCAACGGTGGAGTTACGAGTGCGTTGCCGACCTTTCAGGGATTAGGGATTTGGAGATATAGGGATTGAGGAGGGATTGGGGAAGGGGAAGGATTGGGCCTCCGGTAACCTCACTCACACGGCGAAACACAACGCAGTGGTTATTTCACGCCGGTTTTCTGTGAGGCCGTGGTATCACTCCGGTCGAGCCGACCCATTCGTGCCGAAGCATGGCTCTCCCACACTTAAACTGAAATATGTACATAATATTGAATTATAAATGTACATCTTAATCACAGCGACAGCGACATGCTGCAAGGTGATCGAGAATTTGAGAAAAACCAGTTTATCAGGATGTGCATGACCACTATTCAAGTTCAAAGATAGGAATTCAATTTATGTAGATAAACAGTAATGAGTGTGTCGACGAATTACCTGAGGGTAAGCAATCAGCGCCACCCATGGACACTCGCGGAGTAGTTCCGAGTGCATTGCTGACCTTTTTTGGGATTGGGGGAGCTTAAGGATTAGGGCTCCGGTAACCTCACTCACACGGTGAAACACAATGTTGTTGTTGTTTCACGCCGGTTTTCTGTGAAGCTTGGCTATCCCACACTTAAATTATTAATTATTGTTAATAATATTGATTACTAGCTACTCCCGCGCGGTTTCACTCTCGCTGCTCAGCTCCATTTGATCGTAGCGTGATGTTTGATAGCCTATAGCACTCAGGAACATTGTAGCTATCTATCAGTGAAAGAATTTTGGCAATCAGACCAGCGGTTCCAAAGATTACCCCCTACATATACAAATTTTACCTCCTTATAATATTGGTTTAGAGGAATGAATGTTATAAACGCTGTTATAAAAGTTTGGAGCACTCTTTATCCAGTAAACGGGCTAAATAGTTTTCAGAAACTATTCATAAAAGAGAAATAGGCAGGTTAAACTTAATCATTTAAAAATATGTACGCGCAAAACTACTAAATTGGATATTTTTTGTCATTGTGATATTTATACAAGGTTCGTTCGACGGAAACGTTTTGTTTAAAGCATTCTTTGTTTAAAATACAGGATTGACAATTAATTTCATTTATTTTATTGACGAAGGTACAATCGACACTGTTATTTGGTATCCAAGTACAACAATAAAGTTTAGTTTAAGTGTGGGAGAGTCATGCTTCGGCACGAATAGGTCGGCTCGACCGGAGTGATGCCACTACCTCACAGAACAGCGTCGTGAAACAACCACGGCGTTGCGTTTCACCATATGAATGAGGTTACCGGTGGCCCGTTCCTTCCCCTCTCCCAATCGCTAAATCCTTAAAACTCGAAGACAGCTTCCCAGTTCTAACACGTTTCTGAGGACACGGTAGTGCTTAGCCCAGGTACGCCGCCACAGTATGCTCTACCGTGTTAGTGTAACAATAGCTATTGTATCTGTACGGAGTATTTTTTTATTTCCTTACCAACATAGGTATCGAGTAACTTAGTCGATTGTAGAATGCACATTGTACCCGGATATTACTTACTTACGTAAATTGTTGTACTTGACTCTTCAAAAGGTGAACCGTGAACCTTTATTTATTTATTTTGAGGGGGAAAATTACCCAATGACTTCTTCCGCCGAGTGGAAATGTCAGACTCTTCCTGACTGAACCACTCCGTTCTTTATCCTAAGATGAAATACTTAAAAAAAGAGTCACGTTAGTACTTGCCAGGTTTCGAAAACGCATTCACATGAAAAGGAGATGAAAAGCTGGCTCCCTAACCTCCAGATAAGCATGACAACTGACCCAACAATAACAGACACACAACAATTCGAACGCACGATAAAAAATAACAGAAATTGCTAGAGGTTTCGAACTTTATACCTTTACGAAAAACGAGCAGACGGATTACCTTATGGTAAGCAAGCGGCGCAGCCCATGGCACCCGCAGACCGCGGCCTATCAGAGGAGAGTTAGGAGTGCGTTGCCGACGACCTGTTGGGGGTTATTGGTTATGATTGGGCCTCCGGTAACCTTAATCATACGGCGAAACCCATGCTATGTTTGTTTCACCCCGGTTTTCTTTAAGACCGTGGTATCATTCCGGACGAGCTCAAACAATTAACCAGATCCATTAAAAATGACAAACACTAATATAATTCTCTATTACAATAAAATCATGGTCGATTAATTTAAATTATGTATCATTTAATTATACATAGGTAATATACAATAGCCAAATTTCGACGTAACAAGTTAAGAACCTTGATCCATTTTAAATTTAGAATCACGAAGCAAAGTTTATTAATCAGTTGTATATTAGTTTCGGCAATAAATACGTGTTGGCACATGTTAAAATTAAATTTGATAACATCCATCTTTGAGTATTTAAAATGTATTTTTGTTTCGCGAGTGACTAAATTCTGAATGATATTAACAATATCGCAATGGATTTTTAAATATCAGGATTAAAAGTGACCATTTTTAAACATCAATGTTATTTTTAAACAATTAAAATAAAAAGAAGAGATTTTAAAAAAATATCAAAATAAAAGTGAAATTTTATTTAATTTTAAAATAAGTGTAATAAATAAATTTTAAATGTTCGATTACGAAATAGACGAAGACGTGTTCATAGTGCTCGAGATTTGGATTTCAAATATAGAACGCTGCGTGATTGATAATGGACTGTGTTCGATATTCAAATATCATCTTTGATTCGTGTTTTTAAATATTTTTTTCGTCGGTCATAAAAGGAAACAAGAAAAAACATTTTGATATAAAATCTACCTGACTCTTTTAAAAATGACACTTCAAGTTTAAGTGTTTTAATGTGAACATTATATTGAAAAACCACGATATCCCACGTCATAACAGTGCTTGTAATTAATATTCTTAATAACCTACAAAAACAGAAGAATTATTATAATGTATAAACCACAAAAACATAATTGATGCTTTATAACAACGACAAAAAAATCTCTGATACGAAGCCAATGAAGATAATAAATAATAATTATATATTTCCATAATTGTATGTATATTGTAATACTAATCAAGATTAAAAAAAC